CGTGAAGTTAATACATCACCAAAACAGTCCCACCCGATAAATAAGTGGCGTAGGCCGCAAACAGTGTGGTGCAACAGCAGTGAACCGTGTGGCACCTACATATGATTGGTGAAACGTGTGTGTGCTCAAGAGCCCGACTAAACATCCTGGTGCGTGGAATGACCTGTTCATACTTAAGTACTATAGATGTACCACAGGAGAGCTACATGGAGAGGGTTGAATGATAACGACTGCTCTTGAAGGTTAACATCGCAATTTAACAGCGCCGACACAGACATCACAAATAAATGCCTCCACAAGCTGAAGAACATCGGTATATACCACCAACATTAAAACCTACCAACAGAACTCACAATACAAACGCTGCAGAGGCGTAACGACGGCATGATACTACGCGTGCTCGCTCTACAGTAGTACACACACGATGGCACCCACGAGCTCAAGACTAACCGCTGCTGCAGAGACTAAGAACCGTAGACAACCTTGGTGATTTTCGCCTCGTGGGTTTTTCTATGGCACTGGAAACGCGCCAGTGCACGCATCTCGTGCGTTGCAAAGCCGCTGCGGGCGCCGTTCGTGCCCGTCTTCCAACCACCACCGCGCATGGCCTCGTGAATCGCCTCCGCTGCGACTTTCACCGACGCCATGTCCATCGGCATCTCCCCGTGGTGTTCAGTGGCCTCTCGCTTTCGTCGCATCGCGCGCTCCGTTTCAGCTCGGAAGCAGGCCGAGAAGTTTGATCGGCCGGCTTCCGCAGCCTCGGCCGCCGAAGGCACGGGGAAAGGTTCGGGGACGGGCGCGGAGGATGCCGACGACTTCTCATCGACTGAGCGCTCCACTTGTTCTTTCGCCGACAGAGAGGAGGCGAACGACGAAGAACGATCGCTTCTCGACGAACTGCCACCGGAGTGGGAAAATCTTGCCGAACCTGACGAAGAAGACGAGCCGGAGCGTGAGGACGACGAGTCACTCCACGAGAACTTATCGCTTCCGCTGCTCTTGGAGGTAGTGGTGTCGTCCCGCCTCCTCCTCCCCGTCTGTGCCTCCTCGCCCTCTGTGCTTGTACTTCTGCGATGCTTGTGCTTGTCGTGAAGGCGTCGCCAGGCGCGCAGGAACCGAGCCTTCTCCCTGCGCCGTCGTCGAGCGAGCATGGCGTCTGCCTTTTTGTCCGACAAGTCAGCCAGCCGCCGCATCTCGGTAATAGCTTCGCGCCGTTCCTCCTGATTTGACACATGTGAGTTGAGAAGCGGAGGGGCGGGCGAGATAACATCTTGAGAGAAAAACATACATCGCAGCCATTGATACCGGTGGCAGTAATGCTGTCGAAAGGGGCAACGGTCTAGGCTGCATGGACAACTTCACCACAAACGTGGTGTCGACGAACCACCAGCTGCACCACCACTGGCGGCCAAACGATTGGACAGATGCACGCAAGATCAGGCAAGGGCGACGCTGCCGACAATCACTGCACCACATGTGGAGGTTTGCTCATGAGTTCTTTTGTCTTGATTTTGACACGAACGAAAAAGCAAGGGAACAAAACCAAAGGGGGTAGAAAACCACGTGACAGTAAGTTCTTCCAAATCGCTCACCTCCTTGACAATTCTTTCCTTCCACTTCTGGGGCGCCCAACCGGACAGTCGCCGCTGTGCTCCAATGTGCAGTGGATCGGCTGCGTACGCCCTCTCACACAGCGCCAAGGCGCGCTTGGTACAGAGGAAGAACGAAGAAAGAGTGTTGCATTTATGTCTAGGATTGCCGACAACCGAAAGAGGCTGGCATAGTGAACTATTGTTACAGGTAGTGTTCTCGGTACAGGTGACGTTATGTCAACTGATCCTGGATACCAACAGTCACACGCGATCTTGTGAGCTAAGCACATGCGCAATGCCGAAAAGCATGGCTCCAAAGTATTATTAACCGTGTCGCGACTACCTGTACATATCATAACAACCCACTGCTTTCAGGCAGGCAGGTCATCAATGGCTCTTCACTCGCCGAGAACAAGAAGAGGCAGTTTGGTGTGCAAGCAACAAATCACCTTTGGTTCGCCTAAAACCCAAAGCATCTCGGCGGTGCAGACCATGGTCTCGGGATCCTGTCGCTGCAGCGTCGCTTGTGAAAACCTGCATCGTTCAAGGAGAGAGGCAAGCCTGAAGCACCTGTTCTGAGCGCGATTGGCACAACATGCGCGTAAGACGGTGGCGCACTCCGAGCACGGTAGACTGAGCAGACCTCTCTTTTCGACAGCAAGGCGTGAAACCAACCGCTCCGATACGTGCTGGTTGTTTGCAACAAGAAAGCTTCTTGCGATGGGCAGAAAACTCACATCTGTATGCCCGCGTAGTAGTTACCGGCGCGAATGCTCTCGACCCCCAATTCCCTCCACATATAAAACCACCCAGGCAGTCGATCCCATGGAATCTCGTCCCGGCTAAACCCTCGCCCCCTGTAGATGTAGGAACGTTCGCGACGTAAAAGAGGGAGAGTGAGGGTCGAAGGATGGGTGTCCCTGCGTGAGGGCCACGCATTGTGTCCCTGATGCACCGTGTTGCATCTTCGGGCTCGACTCAAGAGGCTCGCACGCAAAACCCCGAATAAGAAAGATTGCGATCGTGCCAGGGAGTGCGTTGAAGTGTGTTCGAAACGGCACCTATGTACCTGTGGCGTGAAACTGCGGTATTCGTACAGGAGAACAGACCGCGCTGGCCTCGGTAGATTCGTTGGAACACCACGACTCACATCCGACCAGCGGTGTACTCGTCGTTGTACGCCTCCCGGAGGGTGATCAGACGCCGAGATACCTTCACCTCGAGGCCTAGGGACACGTAGCACGTGTACAGTAACGCTTGTACCAGAAGCATACTACACCCCTTCGGTGGCTGTCCCTCGATAAACTCCAAATACCGGACACACTGGCGGTCAAGGACAAGATATTGGAAGTAAAGGGGCGGCGGCGGTGTTGTTTGTCATACTCACTGCTTTCTGAGAGACAACGACATATCTACCCAAAAAGCTCGAACTCCCATGGAATAGAAATTCGCCCGTGCTCTTTTGCATGAGGTTCAACCGAGGGAGTTCAACGGTTTTCAATCCACGGGGATATTCTCTTCGAGGACAAGCTTCGGAAGCTACCCGGAACAGAGTAACCAGTGTTCCGAGCAGCGTCAAGAGTTTCCAATAAAAACGTGTCAGCGCCGAGACAAGAGCAAGCGTGGTAGGTGCTTCAACCTTTCATCCTTTTGTCAACGATACGACGAAGCTACATAGATGCTGACCTCGTCTAACCGCCCGACATAGGCCAGCAGCACGGAAGTGCGGAAGATTACGGCAGAGGCCCCCGGCGACAGCGCCGAGTCGGAGATAATGCTGGCGTACAGGGTCAGGGCTTCCTTGTAGTCTCCACGTGCTTCTTTGCAGAAAGCTTTTTTGAAAGCACAGCAGTCGGGATGGAGGAGGGAACGGATGTCAGGGCGAAACAATGATAATCGCCTACGCGAGAGAACAAACGGCCAGTTTCGCTGGTTGCATGAACAAGTCCACCCAGCGCATAGCTTGCGGGCAAGCTACCCGTTGTTGACTAACCCTAGTGGAATATACACCGCTACTGATATATCTGACGTACGATGGAGGCAAGCGTGCAAGTCCTGGCAAACGGAGAACGCTCTTCCATTTTCCTCTCTCACCGACTTGAGCTCGTATGGCAGGGTCGTTCAAGTTCTCGGGAGACATCAGAGCCTCTTCCAGGAAATGCTGCGCCCGATGAAGCAAATCAGTCCTCTCCGATGACACGTCCAATCTGATCTCGACCACTTCTCTGGTATCCTTTCCCTGACCGCCCCCGGCCCTGCTGCCGGTTGACTCGGATGTTGTTTCTCCCCGAGCCCGCCACAACATTAAATAGGCCCCTCCCAGCGATGAAAGCATGGCCACACGAGTGTTCGGGTCCGCCAGCAGCCTGTCTTCGACCCCAGGTCCACGTAGGAGTTCCTGTTACGATATCGTGAACACGTAGACATGACCTGGTTAGGAGAGTCATGTCATGTAACTACTATGCAGTAGACGAGGACACCGATCGCACGTTAAGGCGTGCACAGACTGTGGCGAAAAAAAGGTGTTGGCGGTGGTGTCTGAAGTTCCGACTCGTGACACGTTGCTCAATTAACAATTTATAGACTCTGTTGTTTACTACTGCAGTTACCCGCTGGACTCCAGGTACGCCGTGGTCCAATGTGTACAACTGCAGTAGATTAGGCCAAACACATTCTACGGAATGCGAATGAGAACATGTTTATTTATGACCTGTAGGCTGCGTGGGGCAGTAGTCTACTATAGATTACACAGATCGTTGGCCGGAGGAACCAGTAGGTCGTAGGGAGTTGAGCGCGCCCAACCTAAGAGGTTGCGACGTGACCTTGGTAGCGTATCGTCTTCTATGCACTGGGTTACGGCATACGGAGTACCATATGTACATCTTCTCTGTACACACACACATTGTACGGTGTCCGTATCACAGACCACGTGGTGTTGTAATTTGTGTGGCTTAGATATTGCTTGTACCAACGTATTTGGTCTGGGCGTCGGTCTGTAGAAAATACCTTACGGTAAAATTTCTGCGAACGAACGCATGACGAGCACGGCAGCCGCTACTTTCCCTCGTCGACCGTGAAATCAAATTTGATGCGCACACGCGAACAACACATAGGTATTTGATTTCCCATGCATCGACTGCACTGCTGTTGTCAAAGAAAGCTTCTTTTTTTGCGTGTGAACGCGCCGAATTCGACCCCACGCCCCAAACGTCCGAATGTCGGATGCGATGGTTGCTGCAAGGTTGGTTCCCAATTCTAATCATTCATTGAAATCTCCCACTGCTGTGTGACCGCCTCCAACGCAGGACTCACCTCAGCGGCAGCAGGTTCCGCCTTGCTCGCGAGCAAACGCACGAGCGCGAACCGCGTGACGTGGTCATCCTGATCGGAACTGAGCGATTTCTCGAGCTGCTTCTTGGCTCTCCAATCCCCCTTCGTCCACGCCAATGACATATCGGTCTGAACGATTTAGACTACAGCAGTTGTGATTGCTTTCATGATAAACTCTCTCCGTTAGAAAAGCTGGGTTTCGGTGTGTATTTGAACAGTTGCGGCGTTCAATAAGCTCCACCTATTTTCACTCCGTACGCTAAAAGGCTGCCTGTGCGTAGACTACAAAAGAAAGCAGGAACAACCTCATCTAATATTAATATCTCATGCGTCGGTGAAACGGTCGTGGTACCCCCGTAGCCCAAATATCCCCCCCCCCCACCCCCTCCCCACCATTTTATATTTTTTGGTGTCCAACGCTCGATTGTGTATTGCTCCTCCCCCCATCTTGCGCGCTCTTTTTGTGCGGCGCGTTGCTTTCTGGTCGGCGTCTGTGCCTTCAAAGTTCGGGAAGACACAATCATGGCGGTGAGTGATCCTTGCGTGGACGAGGGTCCTTTGTTCTCGTGTGTGCGCGCGTTGGCGGAAGGTCTGTTGATGCAGGTGTGGAGGTATGGATGGTGCCAAACGCGCGGTTGTTTGTGTGTTCATTCGTGTCGTAGGTGTTTACCCCCCTCCCTTCTGTTTTGATGAGAGTCTCGCCGGTAGGCGACGAGCGAGACACACCGGTTTCGCAGCAGATCCGATGCCGTAGCCCGTGTTAGCGACAGAAAGCCTTTTGTACGGCGATGGGCACGAACCGGCATGCCATAATTCATCGCAAATCAAACGGCGCGAGCCCTCTCTCGGCATGATTTTCCGGTGTCGGGTGCGTGTGGTGTGCGCATGCTTCCCGCCTGGGCAGTCGCCACATAACAACGACACAGCTCGCGTAGCGCTCGATGCGCCGGTACCGTGCATCTGTTCCCGATAGATAGCTGCTGTGAATCCGCTGCGTTGGGAGAAGTTCCGACGTGGAGAGAAGACTCCCTATCGCGCTGTTGCGCCCTACCGCGCGTTTTAAGAACAAAGCCAATAATCTGAATGCCTCTCTATTTTCCTGTATTCCGCGTTTTTTTGAGGCGTCCCCCTCCGTTTGTTTCTATTAAAGCGTGCTTTTGGAACATTTGGAAAGGTGGCGCCCACAAGGTCGGCAGAGCAGAACGCGGGTGCCCTCTGGCTTCCGTTCGCGCGTGTCTGTGCCTTTTGGTCTCGATGCATTCGTTCGTTTTTTTGCGCGGCCGTGGTGCGTGCTTCAAAGGCAAAAAGGTTTCCCGTTCTGGTTGGTTTTGCACATTTTTTTCTTGTCTCCCGCACTCGAACTGGTGTGTTATTGTTTCTGGGCTCTTAGAAGGCGAAGATAAACGCCAGGTGGTCGATGATCTGATCCGCATATCATTGGTATGCGCTTGGGGCGGTGGCGCATGCCGTTTTGAGTCGGTATCTGTCGGAAACACCGGGAACCGTTAGCACTATTCGGCCACGGCCACCGCTGTGCACTTGCCCGGGACTGCAACGTGCCGACTCGTTCGAATTGTTTTCGGCTGTTCACCAACCATCCCTCCGATTTTTTGGATGGGAGTGGCGAATCTCAGCCGCAACCTTGTATCTGCCTAAGGTTCAGCAGAGGAACTGCATACCGTACTGCTGTAGATACCTTTGTTCGGGCTGTAGTGTTTTTCAACGAAAGGATTCATCATCCATACCTAATTGTTCTGGTATTCTTCGCACGTGTTACGCTTCTGTTACGTTGGGCAACCGTCTCTCTCACATACATCCCCATATCAAAATTGGTAGCCGAATACCGATTCCCTTGGCAGTACTTCATACAACCGCAGGAGGGGGTCCAACCCCCCCCTCCTGTGTGGCCCCGGTTGGGTCGTCTAGCTGGTAGAAGTGGAGGATAGGGGCCAGTGGGGCAGACGACAGAGTCCAATGATGAGAGAAAAACATAAATATGAATGTAGTCTGTGCATACTTCTAACTAGTACTCCTGGTAACGTTGACTCCATGTAGAAATGTTCCACCAACCAACACCGATTAACAACCAACGATGCACTCCTCTCTGCATGCCAAATTCTCAAAACCACCCATTGGATAGCTGCCGGTATACAATCCACTGCTGTCGAAGAGAAGGGAAACACGATGTATCCCCGCGCTTGTGGAACATCCATTGAAAGGCTGTGGGTCCTGCTTCCCGCTTCCGTTTTGCACATGTCACGGAATTGCTGCTGTGCTCTCATGACGAGCCCACTCCGGAGGGATGATCACTTTGTGGAGCTGAATTGATACTTGTCGTAACTGGCCGTGCGATCAAAACCCGCATTTTTTCCATCTCTGGGTACTTGAAAATCTGGTGATGACCGCTGTTTCGTACTTGAATATTCTTGTGGTAACCTCTCCCCTTTACCCCTCCTCGGTTCCCCCCTCCTCTCTTCTTCTCGTCAAAAATGGCGCTGCGTGGTGCTGCTGGACGCTACACAAAAACAACAGTCCCTCGAGTCGCATGCGACGACTCTGATCGTCGTGGCATCGGTGATCGGCCTTGTCTTCGCCGCTGTCCAGTTCATGCTCATCGCGAATGTCAAGTAAGTCTCTCCCGTTGGTAGCTTCTTGGTTAAAACTACTCATTCTAGTCTGCAGAGTACGTAAATACTTCGTAGCTGTTTGGCTGGTTAAGGTAAGAACCGTGTTGATGGAGACCACGCCGAAGATATTTACTGTTGCCTATGTACCAGTACCTCCCCCTCCCTATCAGCGGCTTCCTGCCCTGCTTTCGTCAACACCATACGGGTAACCGCCGACGGATGCAATCATTCTTCGTCGTCACCCTCGGAACGGCGGTCCTTTTCTCGCCGCTGTTGCTGACGATCTCCGTTTCCGGGCGGAGGCGCACAAATGGGATTACTTGAGGCGCTGTATGTCGTCATTCATTTCAACAAGAAGGGCTCAGTAGCACCTTCACTCAGTGTTTTCTGTCAGCAGAAAATAAGGAGCATGTGCAAACTTCCAGTCGAGCCGTCGATAGCAGACCCCTTACGTTGCGTTACCCTCAACATATAGAATGAAACGAAAGACTTGGCAACCTTCTCTGCGAGGTATCTACGCTTGTACGCGTGAGAGTCCGTTCCAACCAATCCGCCCCAACCTCCGATGCTTGCGATAGACTCTCATGTGCTCATGCGTATGTTCTATTTGTCGCATCCCGCCGCCTTGCCGCGTCTGTCCCTGTCGACCAGACTTCAGTCCGGAGATGAAGACACCGCCAGCCTCACCACGAGCGTCAGCTCGGAGCGCACCAAGCGCCTCATTGAGGTACGGGTGCCACAGTTTTGTCTCGCTTGTAGGACAGAACGGTGCGTGTGCATAGCTGCAACGCCAGAGTTTGTGTTCTTCGCAAAACAACACGTTGCGTGTATTGTATTTGCCCTCTAGGGGGTGTGTGGTGCATTGTACCCGCTTATGGGGCGCGTTCCGCAAGACGGCTTGAATCCTGGCCATTACATAGGACTGCTGCAGACTCTCTTCGCGTTGTGCAAGCATGCCGAATGCGAGCAGAGAGCGACACGGTATTGCCGCGATTTCGTGGTTTTATCCTGCTTCAACACTTAGTGCGCATGTCTCGTTCAGGGCCACGGCGCGCGGTAGGTAGGTGGCGTGTACTTGTCGAACACTGCTGTAACTTGTTGCAAGGCGTCTCGATTCCCGGCTGCTCTGTTGCCGTGCTTCCGTGGGTGTTATTTACCGTTTTCCCAAGGTTTGAACCGTTCCTTTGCCGTCTTGAGTACGACCACGTTGCAAACCAATGACCGCCACCGTGGTTTCCTGCTGGGATCGCGAGTTTTGCCGCTTTTTCCTTTGGTTGAGTGATGTATGGTGGGGACTTCGAGGAAGTGCGGCGTAAGGAGGTGGGGCCGATGATGAGGCAAAGACGCATGGCTTATCTGAGGACAAAATCCCGGTGAAGCAACTATTTGCTCTTGTCCTAGTTCCCGCGAAACTGTCTCCTTTGATCCCCCCTTGCGTGCTTCTTGCTCTTGCTCTTCTAGCATGGTTGACCGTAAACATCTAGGAAGCGACGCGTTGGAGAGTGGGGAAAGATGGGGAGGGCGATGATGAGGCAATGACGCATGGCTTATCTGAAGACAACAAAGAGTCCCGGTGAAACAATTTTTTTGCTCTCGTCCGAGTCCCCACAAACCTCTGTATTTTGATTTACCCATTTCCATTTGCCTGCCTCTTGCTCTTGGTATTGTCAAATTTGTGAAGCAACCTAAACAGCTTTTTTTGGTCGGTCTTCGGCTGTCTCGCGGGTTCGACGCAGTGTGTAGTCGTTGTCCCGAGCCCAACCGCTACTTTGCAGCGCTGTGAGTCGGCGAAGCTTAAGCATTGTTCAATCGCGCACACGTATACGTGATGGGCAAATGGCGATTATTGGGAAGCACTCAGGGCTGCTCAAGTTCTTGTTTATCGCCGCATGCGTTCGCCCTCATTTTGATGGAATGGTTGGCCGTAGACATGAAGGAAGCAACGCATCGAAGGGAAGGGGGTGCGATGATGAGACAACGACGCATGGCTTATCTGAGGACAACAGAGTCCCGGTGAAGCAACTATTTGCTCTTGTCCGAGTTCCCACGACACTTTCTGTCGCCTGTGATGTATATCTCCCTTCGCGTGCCTCTTCCTGTTTGGCAGAATTATGTAACAACCGAAACAGGTCATTGGGTCAGTATCTTGCCTTATTCACGATCCGAGCAGTAGTCTTGAGAGCTTACACTCTTGTCCCGTTTTTCCTTGCTTTCCTGTTTCGTTTCTTCTTTTGTGCGTGTGTTTTTGATTTCCGTGGGAAGATTTACGAGGCGATCCGCCACGGTGCCGACGCCTTCCTGTCCGCGGAGTACACCATCTGCTGCATCTTCATCGTGATCTTCGGATCCGTGGTATTCTTCCTCGTCGGCGTGGGCCAGGACTCGTGGGTCCAGGGCGCCTTCACCACCGGCGCCTTCGTGCTCGGAGCCATCACTTCCATCCTCGCCGGGTACATCGGCATGAAGGTATGTACATATGCGTTTGATTGAGTGTCGGGTTGGGTATGTGTGGGTGTGTGTGAGTGTGTTTGGACCTCCTTTTCGCGAGGATTTTGTTATTTCTCTGTAGAACCGAGAGGGGGGTTCGTTGTCCTATCGCTATTCGTAACCCCCACCCTGTAAAGCCTACTCTCACCAAGCGCAGCATCGCCGCGAAGGCCTCTGCCTCCTCCCGTTTGGTATTGTCGGCGTGTCACACCGGATCGAGGCTCGTCAGTCCGATAGGCAAAAGGTCGGACGCATTGGCATAGGGTGATGGATGGTACAGATCTTTTGGACTTGACCGCAATGCACAAGATGGAAGCACTGCCACGCACGCGATTCATTGGTCTCGAGTAGGGCATGAACAACCCATGCGGCAAGGCTCCGTCTGCGTGATGCAGGTGATTTGTTGAACCCCCTCCCCCGGTGTTTGCCATCGGGGTTGGGTTTTCGTCGCTTGGCAACGACGTTGTAAAACAAGCCA